CAGAAAACGAGAAGTGGCGCTGTGGCTCAAGTGGTAGAGCACTCACCTTGAGCTGAAGAACTGAGGGACAGCGCCCAGGCCCTGAGTTCAAGCCCCACGACCGACACACACACACACACATACACACTCAATCAAACCCTACACACACACACCAACTCAATCAACCCCTAAGACTTCTCAATTAAGTACCCAAGGGCAGGGCTAAGAGCACTGAGGACAGCACCTGTTTCACCCCAGCACCGGGAGGCCACTTTGGAGGTCTCCAAGGAGCAGGGGAGGGGAAGGGGGGGTCCTCCTGGGGTTCCCCTTTAGACAAGAGGGTGGGTAGATGGGGGAAAGAGAGGGTGTCAGTCTCCCGGTTCTGTTTTTGTGTTGGTGCCAGGCCTGGGGCTCGAACTCAGGGCCTGGGCGCTGTCCCTGCTTAGGTGGTGCTGAGGAATCGAACCCAGGGCCTGAGCCACCTACCCAGGCCCCCCCCCAGCCCCCAGTCTCCCCATTCAGGACGCCCCACCCCCACCCCCTCAGCATCCACATCCGGGTCCTGGGAGCGGAAGCGCGGCCCTCAGCCCGGGCCCTGCGCCCCCCCACCCCCCCACGCGCCCCCAACCTTACCCAGCGTCAACAGCACGGCCAGGAGCGCCGCCGCCACCGACAGCAGCGTGGGGTCCTGCCGCTGCAGCTCCCGCCGCCAGGAATCCAGATAGGGCTGGAAGGTGCCGCCGCCCTCTCCCACCCGCCGGGACTCCACCGAAGCCATGGATGGAGGGAGGGAGGGAGGGATGGGAGCGCCAAGTGGTCTTCACAGTCCTAAAAGCGACGTGGCGCGACGGGGAGCGGAGCCTCATGGGAGTGGTAGTTTCTCCCGGCTCCTCCCTTGAAGTGCCTGATGGGAGTTGTAGTCCCCCCAACTACATTTTCGCCTTCTCCTCCTTTGAAGTGCCTGATGGGAGTTGTAGCCCCCCAACTACACTTCCGCCGGCTCTTTCCTTGAAGTGCCTGATGGGAGTTGTAGTTCTCGAAAGCGCAGCGGGCCGCCGCGGAACCCGGAAGACGCCGCTGAGGTGCCGCCGCCGGGTCCGCCAGAGAGCGCTGCTCCCTTTCGTTGTTTCTTAAACTTCTCTCAGTGTATCGAACCGTATTGACATTGTATCTTTGTTAAAAACAACAAAACAGCCTGTATCTACTAGTCTGACAGCTCCAGTAGAGAGTAAGTAAACAATGAGTATCACTTTGGCCAGCTCCTAAGCCTTGTCATTATACATAAAATACTATATATATCATATTCCTATGTGTAATATAGCATGCATAATATGATGTTATATAATATGCATTATAGATAAGATACATAATACAATGTTTTCTACATAGTGTTATAAATAATATATATAATATTATATATAATATAGTATGTATTATATGTAATTATACATGATTATATATTATATTTTATATGTTACATATATAATTATTATATATT